GTAGCAGGGTGCCTTGACTAGAYACTTAGGTGTTCTGAAAAGACCTCTGTGATAATTTTGTAGAGATATAATTAGAGGGGGCAAAATGGGCTTGGGAGGTTATGGTAGATGCCTAGGCAAGTGATAATTGTCTTGGGTTTAGAATTATGGCTTGCTGAGAAATGCAAAAATTTGAGGTCTTTTTCTCCTCCTCCTCCTCCTCCTTCTCCTCCTCTTCCTTCTTCTTGTGCAAAAAAAAAACAAAACAAAACAAAACAAAACAAAACAAAACAAAACAAAAAAAACTAAGGGGTGCTCTACCAATCAGTTCTTAAGTCTGCTTAAAAACCCCAAACCAAAATAAACCTTAGTTGGATCTCTGGTAAAGAAAGAGATGGAATTATAACTTACTGGGGTTTTCAGATCGGCTACAAAGTATCTTACTTGTGCATCTTTTGAGTAGTAAAAGATAATGAGATTCTGGAGAGTGTGTCATTCACTATCTCACGTAAAGAATGAAAAAGAGAAAGAAGTAAGTAGAAAAGTGATGGAAACTCTGTGTTGCCCATAGGCCTAAACTAGTTACTATTTGATCTTTTATAGCAAAATCTTGCTGCTCACCCCCCCCCGTTAGTTAGTAATCACTACTCAGAAAGCATGTTCCTTTAGTAGAAAAATTGAGAACCATTAACCTTTACAGATGAAGGGTGTGTCTTACCACAAGATAAATTAGTTGTAGAGTGAAAGCAATGTTCTCAGAGCTCTGTGATGAGTATTATTCTTGATTTTTGCAAATTAAAAATCAAGGTCTGTGTGTAAAGGTACTTAGAAAGATAGGTATCAAAGGCAGGTGGGCTAATGCTGAGCTACTTAATGGGAATCCATCATTAAAACAGTGGATTTCCGCATCTGGTGACAGGATGTGCCAGCAAAATGACTTTGTGTTTTAAGCTCATAGTTMATTAATGAAAAAGGAAGTTAGATCACCACTGGGTATTGATAAACTCTCCCCTAATAGCAGCAACTGTTTGGAGGAGGAAAAAGAAATGGTTCTAACAACATGTGCCCATCTCCACTGAAGCCTGTAGTGAGTTAGTAAGATATAGTGCATTGTGAAGTGGTTTGCATTTGGTAAGTAATTCTTCAAATCCACTCCACTGTTTTCATGTATTTCTTTCCCATGCAATCTATATTGATCTATTTCTCATGGAGTCAAAAGGCAATGCCAGAGGTAACCATTACAGTTGTGCTTCATTTGCCTGTTCTTTGAGGCCAGGAGCCAGGTTGCCATGGCCCCATCTCTCAGCTGCAGCTGTTAATTAAGGAAAACACCAGACAAGGGGTGAAGCAGGTTTGAGAAGAGACAAACAGACACACATAGAAAAAGCTGGGGKTAGGTGGGTCATTAACCTCTGATGGAGGATAATGACTAGGAACTAGTGCAGCACATTTAGTATATAGATTTCATCAAAAGGTTATTTTGGGGAAGGTTTCATCAAAGCAGTCGATCTGAAGGTTGCAGGACTGGTGAGACATTGGGGTTTTCTTGCTATGCTCAGAATTCTGTGTCCCACGAGTTGGTGCCTGAGTTCAAGGTCCAGACTGATGCATTTCTGCACCTTTGCATGGAGCCTTCTTGGGCTGGGTGTCATTCTAGCAACTGGGCCAGCTTTACCTGCACCTTTGCACCCAGGAAGTTCCCAGCACAACACAGCAACAAGGCAGGCAGAGAGACCATGACTCAAGTCAYCATTCTCCACAGCTATTGTTCTTAAGATGACGGTAATAGAGGTTGGTAGGTTCTTACTCTGAAGTCTCTTTCTTTCTTTGGTCACATTGCTTTATCTTCTTTTGTAGAGGATGGATTGAGTAAGGTATTAATTATAGTTGTTTAAATTATAATCTTGTTTGGTTGTAACAGTTTCTTTGTGCATTTTATCTTTCCTTTTACTTAGGTGATTCAGACTATTAACAAAATTGTAGTACATACTTTTCTCCCAATTTTATGTTTGGAAGATGAGAAAGTTGAATTCTTTGTTTTGTAATTATAGGAACTTGCAGACATGCACAAAACTAACCCAGTTYCAGCAGTCATCACGTGCAGTGCAGCCAATCTTGTTTAATCTTTATTTTCTTCCTTTATTGTTGCTTATTTGCCATGAAGTTGTAAAACAGATCATGGCTACTACACCTTTTCATTGGGTAAATACTTGAGTATGCATGTCTGAATATGACTTTAAAAAATGTAAATGCCTTCAGCCTACTAAAAATAAATTATTTCAGGTTATCARGAAATATTTAAGTTTTCCCAAGTCAGGGCTCAGTTACAGTTCATGATTTTTAAAGAGCTGAAATGTCTCTTAGTTGTAAGTGAATACAGGTTTTCCTTCCCTTTTTCCCTTTGGCCATTGATTCTATATGTCATTTATCCTGTAGAAATTCTCATCTGGATTTTATTGGTGGCATCTCTCTTCTGTTACTCATCATGGTCTGTCYCTTTATTTCTAGTAAATTTGAATTTACCCTTCCTCAAGAAGAGTAGCCAGGGATTCAAGTTATTTTGGAACCTAAGCAAGTTTCAAGTTTAGGTTAATTTTGTTTTTAAAAGAAGTGGGCTCTGAATTGACTGATAAGAAGTTGAGAGTGGAGCATCTCAGCACCTTCTTCAGCTGAGTAAGATTATTTCTCATGACAAGATGAGAAAGATGATGTGCAGAGATGCAGGTGAGGGGTCAACTCATATATGGTGTCATTAAATGTTCCTTTCTTTGACACAATTGCCTAGTCTTTTTGTTCTTTGTGTGTAATTAGCAACAGTTCTCAAGTGACAGAGCCCTTATTTGGCATAGGATTGCTAGACACTGTCAGGCTCTTTAAGTTTAAGCTTTGCCTTCTGAGTCATTGAATTTGGTGACATTTTTGTCATATCACAGTCTGGCCAACATTACTTTCCTATTAAGGATGATGAAATTCTTGCTGTTAATTTTATATTGGAAATGATTAATGTAAAACTCTGTCCAGTAAAAAAAAAAATCTAAGCATGTAGTTAATTCTTATGAGTTATGTAGAAAAAAATAAATAAAAAGTTATCTTTAAATAGTCTTTTTATTACAGAGAAAAGAGACCTTTAAAATATGCTCCTTCCTCTCATAAAATATGGTATTTCTTAATTTAAAATTATTATGACTGGTACCATGTCAAATTCTTTTAATATATTAAGGCTTGTTGGGAACTCTATAAAGGATAATTTGATTTTTTGTAAAAACAATGGATAATTTAAAATATATACTTGACAATGAAAATGACTTTATTTTTCTTGGAATATTTATTTCCTATGTTGAAAATTATTTAAGTGATCACCTCTTTTTTGAAAGAAAACTAAGAATGTGGATATTTATTTTCATTGAAATGCTTTTCTTATTTGTTTGACAAATGTATATTTGAATTTACTATTTCTTTTCTTTTCCTTTTTTTTTTTTTTTTGGCTACCAGGGATTGAACCCTGGGTGCCTAACCACTGAGCCACATCCCTAGCCCTTTTTGTATTATATTTAGAGACAGGGTCTCACTAAGTTGCTCAGGGCCTCATTAAATTGTTTTTGCTGGCTTTGAACTTGAGGYCCTTCTGCTTCAGCCTCCAGAGTCACTGGGATTATAGGCATGTGCCACTGTGCCCAGCTGAATTTATTATTTCTTTATGTATATTATAATTATTTATATTGTATTGTTTTAGTTATTTTCAAAACTTGATGAGGAATTACGTTGGTTCCTATATAATTATTTTAACTGATTATATGATGCAATTAATATTGACCAGTGACTTTCTATTGCTTAGGGGTTATGTAAGAGTTTCTGAATATTCCCTAATGGACAGGGAATATCAAAGGGTATAATTCACTGCTTAGGATATTGAAGATATTAGTTTTGTTTTGTTTTTTAAAAAATCTTTGTAGGGCTGGGCTTGATCCCAGGGATGCTCTACCACTGAGCTACATCTTCAATCCTAAGCCCTTTTTACTTTTTGAAATTTTGAGACAGGATCTCACTAAGTTGCTGAGGCTGACCTCGAACTTGTGCTCCTCCTGCCTCAGCCTCCAGAGCAACAGGGATTACAGGCATATGCCATTGCATGCAGCAACTTTGCCTTTCTTAGTCCAGGGATCCTCCTAAATCTTCAGACTGAGGGGAAAAAAAAAATGACATCGCAGCCCATTTGTCATTTGCTGTTGTTTTTGTTTCTTTTATGCATTCCCAACATGCCTTTCCTGATAGGTCTTATTCTTAGTGGCTTCTGTAGATATTAAGAACTAGCTCCTTAAATCTACCTGCTTCTGCTAAGGAGAGATATTAGATTGAAACTAATAATCTTTTATAACATAGTAACTCAAAACTGCATATCTACTAATTCTTTAAAGGAAAAAAAATACAATAAATAAAAGATGCAAATTTTGTGGCATTTGAGACTTGTAAAGAATTCATGGTTAAGAAGGAAAAATTAAGACTGTTTTAAAATAGTTACTTCAGATTTGTTGTGGACTTGGATCAGTCTTATGATTAGATCTTTTCTTTGTTTGCCACATGTCTGTAGCAAACTGTAATGTCTGGTGCACCTCAGTGATGTGTGTCATAAATCTGGGAAGATTTACAGGTGACAGTGAAACTGGGGGATTAGATAGTATCTAAGGGTCTTACTGTTAACAGATTTTTAAAATGTGCATATAATGGACTTTTTTTTTTTCTTCTTAATGTTGAAATACTCCATTGAGGACATGCTTTTCCTCCAACACTAATGAACTTTTTCTTTACCATTAATATAATTTGTCATTGAGGGGCTAGTCATTTGAATTGAATTTGAATTGCCTGGTTTTCAATAGCCCTGTGTTTCATCTTACGTAGAATAACACATCAGAACATTCCCATGGGTTAATGAGGTTTCTAATCACTATATTGAGTTGTAAAGAAAGTGTTAGCATTTAAACTCTTGGTAAACCTACTTACATTATTTCCTTCTGTCTTTGCAGATAAATTATTAGTCATAACTGTAGCAACAAAAGAAAGTGATGGATTTCACCGATTTATGCACTCAGCCAAATTTTTCAATTATACCGTGAAGGTATAGTATATTTTTACTTTATAGAGGTGGTGGAATATGTGTCCAAAGTACATTTTTCATGTCAACAACAACAAAATCTGTAATCCCTTCAAGGAAGATGGAATTTGTTTGCATCATTGCTATTTCTATGCACATTGAAAGATATATTTTGGCCTTACTAACATTTGCCATGCAGACAATAAATTTGTTAATATTTGCTAATATTTGATGTAAGCATATTCTATAAAACACAAAGAATATGTAAATGTGTACCTGTATATACATATATAAATAATTTTGTGGGGCTGTACAAAGATTAGACAGTAGTGTTCTTTGGTGACTGAATAATTTTTCTGTTATGGGTTGTCCACAGAGGTGGTTTCTTTACAGGGAATTGGAAGCATGGCTGTGGGAGGGGAGACCTGTCTTGTCCATCACTAAGAGTTACTTTTCCTTTCTTGTTTTGTTTCTGTATCTGTTTTAGAGGAATTTGGGAACACTAAACACGTTTAGAAGACATCTCTAGGGGACATTTTACTCATATGTGATCAGAGGAGACTTGAGGAGGTTGATAGAAGTATTAAACCGAGGAGGGAGGGTCTTAATATTTTTATTGATATATTCATTTGATAGAAGGATCTGCTAGCCAGATATTTTCTCCAAATAAAAGGAGAATGAGCAAGTATCTAGGCAGGAAATTAAAAAAAAATAAAAGGAGGGGAAAGATTGCTTTGGCCTGGGGAGAAACTGAGCTATACTTACATGTAATTCAATAAAAGGTCGTATTCCTTAGGCAGCCTCTGGAGTAGAAGGTACTGATGGTGATGCACAGCAGCTAGTCAAGAGGTGGAATTTGCAGGGAAAGAGACAGGGTGGTAACAAGGGGACAGAGTACAGTGAAGGTCAGAGGTACAGGTGCTTAATAAAGGATCAATGAAAATATGTTCAAAGTACGTTAAGAGAGACAAGAAATATAGTAACATTCACTGAAGTCAAAGAAGAATTAAGATAAAACGTTTCTGAAGTCTTTTAGGAGGATCTTTTGGGTTCAGACTGGGTGACAAATAGACTGTTATGTGCAAGGCACCTGGCTAGGAACTTTCCATATGGTACCTTCTTAGTCAKTATATGAACAATGTAAGGTACATATTTATTTATGGGCAAAGAGAACCTGCTCCAGGGTCCACAGCTACAACCTGTGAGGTCTTAGACCACAGCCCTATTTGACTGGCTCTGGAGTTCATGCCCTTTCTGCTGGCTTCTCATTTTGTAATGCAGTGATTTTCAAAGTGTGGACTTCAAACCACAGTACCCTCCTCACCTGGGAACTAGTTAGAAAGGAAACACTCAGGCCACCTCAGAACAGCTGAATAACAAATTCTGTGCTTTCTCCAGCTGTCCACGGATTCTGGTGTGATTCTGGCACACCCTGAGGTCCGGCGCACGCTGCATGGCCTGACACTGCACTGTATGACCCTCAGGTGTGGCCAGGGCAGTTGCTATTGCAGCATCAGAGCTTCCAGAAGGGTTGTGAAACCAATCAAGTAAAAACCAATAATTCTGATAGATGAGAAATCATTTGAATCCAGATCCACACGAGTTTGAGTTTTCATGGGTGGAATATTCCTCCCATTCCTGATTCTAGGTAGAGATGAAATGAAATGATGAAATGAAATGATGAAATGATTTGGGAGTCCCCCTGGCTTGTTTTGCCAACAGATTCATATTTGGCTCTGTGTTAAGGACAGTGGCAACTCATGGTATTTATTTATTTTTAGTTTACCTTTTTCATTTGTCTTTATTTTTAGTTATGTTCTCCTCAGTTATGTTCCCCCTAGTCTCCTAATACATCAATATTTTAGCACCTTCAGACACTGTTTTGAGGAGACAAAAGATAAAACTGTGTATGACAGGAGGGACACATCTTATGCTCCTGTTGCCTCAGGGCCAGGTATGTCAACAGTATGTTTCCAACTCAGGAGGCCCTGTGGACACTCATGTGCCAGTGAAGGTCAAGGGTACAGGTGTAGTTCTAAGGGTACAGGTGCACAGTGAAGATCAAGGGTATAGGTGTAGCTTCAAGGGTACAGAGTATAGTGAAGGTCAGAGGTACAGGTGTAGCACTAAGGGTGAAGGTGTACAGTGAAGATCAAGGGCACAGATGCATAGTGAAGATCAAGGGTACAGGTATAGCTCCAGTTAATTGTGTGCAGGCAGTTTCTTGCATTGATAAATTCTTAACAAGAAYGAAGACATTTGAAGATTTAAAAGGTAAAGAAAGTGCCCTGTTATTTGATGGCCTCTGCATTTCCCTGAACAATCCATTTTGGTTTGGTAGGAAATTGCTTCAGGGCCAGTCAAGGAGAACCCTGGGCTTCAGGGGATTTCAATCTTGATCTTACACATTTCCTACCAGATTGAAAAAAACTGATATGGAAGATCTCTTCATTTTCTTTTTAATTTTATGCTGAACAAARAATAATAAGATACAAGAAATATTTCCTCAGTCCAGCTGCATGCAGTTAGACTCAACTTTTGAAATGATAAAATTGGGAATGGCATTTTTGGGGTGGATAATATTAAAGAAGTATGACTGATCCAGTCATTAATTTCTTTTTTTCTGGCATCATGATTTAATGTGACACGTGGAGAGTGGGTTATGGTGTAGGACTGTAAAGTTGGCGATGATTTTAAGTTTTTTATGGTGTTGTCATAATTTAATCTGAGTTTTGCTTAGGGTTGAAATGTTGATTTCTTTGATAGGTCCTTGGTCAAGGAGAAGAGTGGAGAGGGGGAGATGGCCTTAATAGTATTGGAGGGGGCCAAAAAGTGAGATTAATGAAAGAAGTCATGGAACAATATGCCAGTCAAGATGATCTGGTCATCCTGTTCACTGAATGGTAAGAGACACACCCTGTGGATTTTTCAGTCTATATTAAATTATTCTTTTAAAAGGTTGAGATTTATATCTATGTATTATTATGCATTAAATTATCTTATTGATGAGGAATCATTGTTTTAAAAAGTAGATTTTTCTCATAGTTATAAAACCATGGTCTGACATAATCGTGTAATATGTTTAAAGTGAGGATTTACACCAGGTGAAATGGTGCACGCCTATAATCCCAGCACCGTGGGAGGCTGAAGCAGGAGGAGCATAAATTTGGCCATCCTGGGAGACTTAGTGAAATTCTATCTCAAAATGAAAAATACAGAGGACTGGGGATGCAGCTCAATGATAGAATACTTTCCTAGCATGCACAGGCTTAGGATTTAATCCCTAAAAAAAAAAAAAAAAAAAAAAAAAAAAGAGTTGCTATGGACACTAATGAGAAAATATGGTATAGGCTAATGTTTTTGTGAAATTCATGTTTTAGTGAAGAAGTAAAGGTCATGTTGAACTTTTCTGTTAAGAAGGGTGGCTCAACCGATTCTGATTACCCTGGGGTGGAAAAAAGATCATGTAAAGTTATAAACACAAGTGAAATGCAAGAAAGCTGGTGTTGTTGTGAGAGAAGAACCTAAAAAAAAAAAAATACATCAACTTGTCATGACTCTTTCAAGTTGTCTCTTGTCTTTCTCACATTCTTTGTTTTTTTATTTTTATTTTTATGTTTTTGGTTACTGATCACTCATTTTAAATCCCCTTGTATTTTCCTCTTTAACTTAGAAAGGACTTTTTGTATCTTTCATTTTGAAAAAAAGTTAAAAGAACTCTTATTTGCTGATGAAAATAAGAGAGCTTTTTAAAATATAAGGATGWAAATAAGAGACATAAATGTGAACATGAAAGTAGAAATAATGAAGTTTCCATACCATCAGCACCTGAAAACTTGGAAAGAATCCACAATACTTGTATCTTTGGAATTTTCCTGATGTCTCCCAGGCAAGAAATTATGTTCTGCTCATGTTTACCTTTTTGGGCAAGATGTGCTTTGGCATGGCATACCTTGAGGTTTGAGTGGGCGCATTAGTGCCACATAGGTAGGAATGAGGAAGAAGCACTTAAAAACACAAAGGGGTTTTGGTGATCATATCAGTCTTGGTTGATTGTCCTAGCTCGTCTCACGTGTGATTGCTCTGTATGTATTCCCAAAGCAGACTGTCTACTCTTCACATTTTTAAATTTTAAAAAATTTGTTTTAATTAGTTATACAAGACAATAGAATGCACTTTGATACATCATGCATTTTGAAGTATAATTTCTCATTCTTCTGGTTATACATGATGTAGAATTCCACTGGTTATATAGTTATACATGTACATAAGGCAATAATGTCATTCATTCTGCTATCTTTCCTACTCCTATATCCTCTCCCCTGCCTTCACTCCCCTCTATCTAATAGTGAGTGGGTCTACCCTTCAATTTTTGCTCTTCTTAGTAAACATGCATTCATTAAGCACCTGTATGTGCAAAATATGGTACTAGCTGCTGTGGCTGGGGGCACCCACTGAGATGGAATCCAACCCTCTGGGTACATGCTTTGCTCAAAAGTTTTGTGTGTGTTGTATTTGGCACATCCCAGCTGGGTCACACTAAGTGTAAGGAATTTAAAAAAAAGATTTATTTCTTTATTGATTCATTGAACACTTATGCACTAAATGTATATCAGCATTCAAAGTGTTAATGTTTCAGACATAAGCTTCGTTATTATTTTAGAACTGGAGGGGAGTTTTCTTTTAATTAATCTCATCATTTCCCAAATAAAGAGACTGGTGCAGAAGCAGGTGAAGCCTTGTGGCCCCCCCAGAGAGCTGCCACTGGAGCGAGCCCACTAACGTCTTTGCCACTCCTCTCTCCCTGGCTTCTCTCCCTTCCAGAGGTTTGTCCAGCACTTGGCTGCAACTTTCCAAAACACGGTTTGTGGGAAGCGACCTTCCAACTAGGCAGTCTTCACTGACCCTGCCTCTGCCCGACCTCATGAAGTGAAATGTAAATGGAATTATATGTCATTAGGAGGAAAATTTACCAAACAATATTTGGTTTTTAAAATAGTCCCCCAACTAGCTCCCTTTTCCTCTCTCCAAAGTGGCTAAAATTTATGTGATAATTTTCTACTGTGATTTGATCATAATTTATTCTGCAAGTACCTGTAGGTGGATATTTTAAATGGGTTGATTGTGTGTGTGTGTGCCTAGGGGCTATTAAAGTGTGGCGCCTTGGTGTTGGTTTGTGGTGTTAATTTTGTCTCTGGAAATACAGACACATATTTGAAGTGAAGATGTGACAACAGAATTTTTCGTTTTTTTTTTTTTTTTCGTTACGCCTTCTAAAGCTTCAGTTTATGAGACTTTATTTAAGCTTTCAGACACTAACTGCTAATAGTTTGGATGATTATGACTTTTATTTAAGTTTACGTTAGTGATGATAATGAAAATATTGGATTGGGAAAGAATAAGTCACAATTAGGGGAGACTTCTGTTGCTTTGTTTTTCYGGCTGCATGGTAGGTTTTGCTTCTTGTTGAGACTTGGAGTGATTCATTCATTCACTAATTCATTCATTTGTACAACAAATATTTATTGACTATCTTCAAAATCCAAGGCTAAGGAGATATAGAGAATAAAAAAGACATGGATCTAGCATTTGAAGGAGAAACAAGTAGTCTAATCTGAGGTAAGSATTCTTAGCATGAAGAACAGAAAACAATACCTGTGGTGAAGGCGGAGAGGAGAAGAGCTGTGGGTGCTAAGAGGAAGGAAATGGTGTTTTCCAGTATGGTCATCAAGGAGAGCTTTGTAGAGGAGGTGTCCTGGGAAAGGACCCTGAAATGTGTTGCTTTGGACCCAGTTGAGAAAATAAGTACTAAGAGGAGGTGCCATAATGAGGAAAGGTGCAGATGACACATCATATGACTCATCTGGTTCACTTAGATTTCACTCTACGGGTCAATAAACTGTGGTTCATCCCATTGCCTTTTTTTTTTTTTTTTTTTTAATTAGAGCTGTATAGTTGGCGTCATCCTGACAAACTCACATGTGCATAGAAATTGATTTCAGTTCATAATCCTCCCCTTTCCTTCCCAGCTTCTTTGCCCTCTCCCATTCTCCTTTCTCTGTTCTGCTAGACTTCCTTTTGCTTGTCTTTTAATTGATATTTATTATCCTTATCTTCCCTTTTATTTTATTCTAGCTTCTGGATATGAGAGGAAACATCTGACTTTTAAGTTTCTGAGTTTGGCTAATTTCACTTTCTATTTTCATCCATTTACCAGCAAACACCACAATTTCATTCTTTTTTATGGTTGAATAGAACTCAGCCATATGTTTATATATATTTACACACACACACACACACACACACACACACACACACACATACACACCCTACAATTTCTTAATCTATTCATCTATTGACAGGCATCTGGGTTCATTTCATAATCTAACTATTGTGAATTGTGGTGCTACAAATATTGATGTGGCTCTATTGCTGTAGAATGCCAATTTTAGATCTTTTGGGAAAACACCCAGGAGTGGGATATCTGGGTCATATGGTGGTTCCATTCCTAGTGTTTTGAGGAATCTCCACACTGCTTTCCAGAGTGGGTGTATTAGTGTGCAGGCCCCCCAAAAACATACAAGGGTTTCTTTCTCCCCCACAACCTTGCCAGCATTTGTTGTTGTTTGTATTTTTGATCATTGCTATTCTGATGGGAGTGAGATGAAATCTCAGTGTCGTTTTTCTTTGCATTTCCCTGATTGCTAGAGATGTTGAACATTTTTTCATATATTTGTTGGCCATTTGTATTTATTCTTTTAAGAAGTTCTATGTTCAGTTCTTTTGCTCATTTGTTGATTGGGTTATTGGGGGTGGTTAAGTTTGTTSGATTCTTGGTATATTCTGAATATTAATTCATTGCCTGCTTTGTACAGCAGTGTTCTGGGAACCYAGCCCTGCTTGTTCATTTACATACAGTCTGTGGCTGCTCTTGCACCACAGCGGCAGGGTTACCATGTTTGATGGAGACCATGTGGCCTTCAGAGCTAAACTATTTTCTGTAAAGGTGAGAGATGGAGTGAATATTTGCTGACTCCTGCTTTAGATCATAGTTGAAAACCACTAATTGGGTCTGGGGACGAGCACTGTGGGGAGGATGTCAGACAGTCCTAATTAGAAGTGGGTGATGTGGAGATGGGTGATGTGGCAACCCACAGGATGTCTTAATGAGTCTAGGCCAGTGCCTTCTAGTGATGCTGTAGAGGATCTGAATGCTAAACAGATTAAGGAGATGGAATCACTAGTGTTTGGCAGAAGATTTAATGACAGGCTGAGAGAGGGAGGAGTCAAGGCTACATGAACGTTTTCAATCTGGGGATCCAGTGGCTGATGGGACCATAGAACCAGGGAACACAGAAGGGCAAACAYGTGTCAGTCTCAATGACCTGTTGGAGATGGGGCTCTGACATGTCTGGTAYGGGACTCAATATGACCACGTAATGTGGAATCTATGGCTTTTGCAGGACTCAGGAATATTTACCATAGTTAACTGTGGAAAGTTTTATTTTATTCTTCATATTTAAGTGGACTGAGTTCCTATGAGAATTATTTTTATGACCTTTGTGCATTCTTTGTTGAAAACAAAATTTGAGTTTTTGTGGCCAAAATGATTTTAAGTAGAAAAACTTTCTTGCCCTTTGAGAAGTTTTAAATAGATTCCAAAAAAAAAAAAAAAAGTTTCTAAAGTACTCAAACACAAAGGAACAGTGCTACTAGATTGAAAGGGGAAAAATTTCAACAACTTTATATTTTTATACAATCAAAATTTACTTGAATTATATGAAAATAATTTTCCCTTCACTGTTTTCTTTAAAATAATTGCATGTTTTAAATTAATTCATGCTTATGAATTAATTATTCATGTGAAAATTGCCACAACTCCTCCWTGACAGAATGTTGACCTTTATAGTTGCCATACAATGTGTATAGGTCTGTACTRTTTACTGGGATTTCAAAGATTTAGTATTCACTTTCCAAAATTGCATTTATAGTGTTTAAATAAGTGATGCTACCTGAAAATTTTCTGAATTAATCTGGTGTAAGCCTTTGATCATAAGATTCTCTAAGCATACCTGCTCCACCCCATTTCCAAAAAATAGATTGGGTTCCTCTTTTCTTTGGAGGTCTATGGCAGTGTCTATCTCAGAGAGACAGCAYTCACAGCCAAAATAAAAACTACTCTTATGTCTTAATATTCAATATTTAAAAGAATTACCAACAGCTAGTAGTTTGGAGGAAAGTACCTGTATTTACAAACACAGAACTGAAGAAATCCATTGTGCTTAGAAGAAAAAGAGAAGAAATTTGTTATTTTCTTTTTAAAGTCAAATTAATTCAGTTGTTATTATTGTTTTTTTGATAAACGGGAATGGAATACTTATTTTGAGGTTTYAATCAGAACAACTTTATATTTTAAAAAATACCTGCCTCTGGGTAAAAATTAAATTATTTTAACTTYCAGAKTGGCATAAACTTAAAAATTAGGTATCCTCTGCCTCTCCTATGATAGGAGCCTTCTTTTTTTAGTTAATAATGGTCTTAGTTTTGGATAACATTGATGCTTACAACATCCAGGRTTTGTTGTTAGTTTTTAATCTCTTTTTACAAGTGATTGATGAGATCGATACTACTTCTGCTCCATTTTATAAATAAAGGAACTAAATCATAGGGAGGTTCAATAAKTTATTCACTGTTACTCTTAGAGCAAGTGGTARCACTGGCTTTAGAAACTCAACTGGCAGACTTCAAACTGTGTGCTGTGAGTGATGTTGTGATAAGGCTGTTTAATATGTACTTTCTTGCCTCTTGATCCTGGAAGGAAAAAAAAAAAAGTATGTACCAATGTGTATGTGTGTATATCTATCTGTTTCTACATACTCATATGTAGATATTTTAATTTTGAAATGATGATTTTCATAGCTAAAGTAAAAACAAATGATAAATTTTATTCCTCCAGAATAGTTTGAAATAAAAAAGAAATAATCTGTACCTCTGATCCCAATGCTGTTATTATTTTAAATATTGCATAAATGAAGCAACAAAACAACAAAATTTAGTTGTATATTCTCTACATTTTTAACTCCCTTTCTTGCTTTTTCTATTTTTCTTTTTCTTTTTTCCTTTTTTTTTCCTAGAGTGAGAATTGGATATATAGTGAGGGTGTATAGGTCAGGGTATTTTTTTCACTTATGAACTCTGGCTCTTCACAAAGAGGGAAGGGCAGCAAGTTGAAGCAAGCAACTTCCTTTTTAAAACATAGGACCTGAGACTGTCTATCCAAGTTCTACCTGTATTCCCTTGAACTGAATAGGTCATGAGGCCACATGGAGCWTCACCATAGCTTCTAAGCAGGATGGCCATATGTCTTACATTTGGTAGATTCCACTATTAAAACACGGGCCTGAGAATGTATAACGGAGGTCATTTGGCATCTCTGCTACAAGTTTAAATAATAAGTAAAAATTTCCAATACTCCCCACTAATGTGTTTAATTTTTTTTATCCAAGAGATAAACAATAGTGTGTTTTATTTTGATAGAATTATTCATATGTAATGTTATAATTTACTAAGGTATTATGTCATGCCTAACTATTAGCCAAGCATATTAGCTAGCTCCTTGAGAATGAATCCATCTGGAATATTGACTCTGAGGAAGACCTTGAGCTGGATTTGGGAGCATTTGTTCCCTTGGATTGCTTGCCACCTGGGATAAGTCATTAAATTATAATCTTTGAAAATGTGTGGCCTTGTGATACACTGATATTAAAAAAAAATGCAAAGGTTTTGAGGTTGTAGTGAATAGGGAACATACCACAGAGCAGAAATATTTTAGACAATGGCTTTTACATTGATCATTGTGATTCTTTGAATAAATGATGAGAAATAAATCCATTCATAAATAAAAGTTAAATTATATTATCAATTACCACATTTTTTCAAATTTATTGAGCTGTAAAAA